ACAGGATCCAGCAGGGTGGAGAAGGGCTGCTTTTGTGATGGACCAGAGGGTCCACCGAGGCCACAGGGCCTGGCTGTCCTGCAGCACTGTTCAGACACAGGCTTCCTGGGCACACTACCCATGCAGACTCCTTGCCAGGCACCTGCTAGTGACGGGCTTCAGTGGTGTGGTGGGCAGGGCACTGCTTCCTGACCCTCGTACCTCAGAGAAAGCCAGGCCCAGCTCACCCTGGGAGCCCTGCCCACTGTGGCAGAATCACTAGGACTTGGTTGGCGCTGCAGGCTCCAGGCCTCACTTCAGATGTGCGAATCAGGGGTCCAGGCAGGACGGGGGGCTCCCTGTGTGCGAGCTACCAAAAGCCACCACATTCGCCTACTTCCTCCAATTCAGACAGGGACTCCATAGCTCAGAGGGGCCGGGTGGCTGCTGACCCACCCACAGTCAACTGGCAGTTGAGCCCAGGCCTGGCTGCAGGGTCGCTGCCCCTGACTCCAGGGTCCTCTCCTGGCATCTGTTCATGCGCAGGCCTGGGTAGGGATGAGGGGTGAACCACACAACCTGGAACTGACACCCCAGCCAGAGTCCCACTGTGTGGCCCAGGAAATGCTGCTTAACAGCTCTGAGCACCAAGCTTCTTTTCTCTGAATAAGGAATGCTCAGGGGACCCCAACATAACTGCAGAAAGTAGGGTTCTCCTCACAGGAGGCTGAAAACCTGGGTGCAAACCCTGCACATGCAGCAGATGCTTCTGTCCACGGCCCTCAGAGGGCCAGGGCCCACTCACTGGCCATCCCGGCAGCAGGGCGATCACACCATGGACACCCCAGAGAAGCAGAGTGCAACCCAACCCTGAGGGTCCTCACAGAGACACGTACCTGATGAGGGGCCGGAAGAGGTTCCACAGGACCTTGATGAAGCTGGTGGGGTGCACCACATACAGGGCCTTCAGGTTCTTCTTGTACCTATGGAGGGAACCTGAGCTGTCCTGGGTCTCCTTGAGATCCATGTAAGGTTGTCATCAGATAAGCCAACAGGAGAGATGGCAGGAGGTGGTGACACAGGCCTGGAATCCCAGCACTTGGGAGGCTGAGGCAGGAGTCACAAGTGCAAACCCAGCCTGGGCAACCCAGTGGCTTATCAAGACCTTGCTTCAAAACAAACCTTTTAAGAGGGCTGGGATGGAGCTCAGTGCAAAGGTCCTGGGTTCAACTCCTGGTACCACATAAAGGGGCTCAGAGCTGGGGGGGACCAGTCCTCTGCACCCACCACCAGGCTGCAGCTGCTTCCTGCTGGGGAGGGGCATGGAGTGTGGCACAACAGTGGGCACAGTGGAGGCTGCACAGGCCCTCCCACCAGAGATACCCAGGCAGCAGGAAGCTCTCTGTGCCGCACACACAGGAAAAGGCTGGGAGCCACACTACCCGCATACACCCTAACTCCGTCTGGAGAGGTCTCAAGGCTGAGGTCCCCCCTAGGAGGAACCAGGGTCCTCACAGAAACGGGTGATTGCTGAGCAGGGTCCAGAGAAAGAGTCCGGGGCATAGAGCCAGAAGTAGGGCAGCCCTAGGGTGGGCAGGGACAGCACCCAGTGCAAGCGGTAAGCCAGGAGCAACTTGGGTGACACGGAAGGGTTTGAACAGACCATCAGCTTGGGGTGGACCAGACATCATATGTTCCCACCACCATGTGTGAGGGATACAAAGGAAGCCCTGACTCAGTGGATGCCGTCGCTGTCTAGCAGCAAAAGTCAAGCCGGAGAGCCACAGAGCTTAAAGCCAGCTCCCAGCACCCCTGCTAGGAAATCCAGTGAGTTGTTCCCAAGGGGTGCTAGCTGCAGGGCTGGGGGCAAGGACTTTTGGGCTGTCCGGGATCCCATAGCATGGCAGGGACCGCCTCCACCCTTGAAGGCTCTGGTCTTTCCAGGTCAGGATCATCACTCCCCAAAGGGGTCAGGACTGGGCTGTGAGCAGATCTGTCCTTCCCAGGAGTGAGCTGGCAGAAGACAGAGCAGGAAACCGGCTCCACATGAATCCCATCTATCGGATGTGGAGCTCCACTTGCATGCCTCTGGAGACGGGGAACTCCCTCCCTTGTAGGCAGCCACTCATGACCCAGCCAGGACCTTCCTCTCACCCCTGCCTGGTCCCCTCCAGCCTAGGTCAAATGGACACTGCCTGGAAGTCACCACCTCATGTCTCCTTGCCTGGAGGGCTGCCCTGCTGGACTGGGGCAGCCACCAAACTGGCAGTGTGACCTTTCTCTTTATCTCTGTCCACAAGTCAATGTCCTGAAGCCCAGAGGCCTCTTTGGCTGCTACCCCACAGGGGACTCCATGTGCCAGACAGACAGACAGACAGACACACACACACACACACACACACACACACCCCTGGAGTCCCCACAGCCCCAGGCACATACTTCCTGTCGAACTCCTTATAGGCGCTCTGCAGCCAGCTCAAGGAGGGCTTGTTACGGCTGTTGAGGCCGTAGTGGAAGTAGACGATGGTGTAGTCATGCTCCACGTGCTGGTCCAGCGTGAACTTCAGGTACCTGTGCACAGACCAGGGTCATCATGAAACCACCCGCGCCCTGTGAGCGCCCTCCCAGTGATGGCAGCCGTGTCAGCCGGCAGGAGCTGCACAAGGCCACATCCAGGGCCACCTGTGGACTCTGCTTGCCAGGGACCGAGCTGTTGGCTGTCTGCCAGGCAAAATCTGAAGCATAGAGGCATTTGGTCCCTTGCCCAAGGTCATGCAGCTACTCGGAAGATGTGGCAGGGTAAAGTGTGACCCCACTCCAGACACCCGCACCAAGTTCCTGGACCCAGGGGAGGCAGCCTTGTTTGTAAGCCATCCTCTGCAGGTGTCATCAGACCGAGGCTCCCTGGAGGAGGAGCTGGTCCCGGACTGGACAGAGTGGCACAGCCACTGTCTTTATAAGAAGGCAGCCGAGGGGACAGTAGGGCAGCCTGAGAGGGACAGGATTTGCAGACACCCTGGAAGCTGGAGGAGGCGAGGAACAGGTCCGCCTGGAAGGACTGCATCAGCAGGAAGGGCCAGGTCTCGAACCCCAGGGCTGGCTGCTCTCCACCCGCACTGCAGCCTCCCGTGTGTCATGGTGCTCGCAGGCGTCTCTACAGGAGCTGACCCACGCCTGCACCTGGGGACCCTGGAAACCTCAGCCCGCAGCTGTGCACCCGGATGACCTCCGTGATCCTGCCTGCCTCTGCCCGCCCTGGGGAAGCCTCGACCTCATTCTGCTGGCCCACAGCCAGCTGGCTTGAATGGTGTGCACGAGAGCCGTGTGTTGTAGCCTCTTGTCCTCAGGCAGTCACCAGGGATGCCAGGGCTGGTGGGGAGCAAGCTCCAAGCCTCAGCGGGGCTGCTCTGCCCCCGCTTCCTGGCTGGTAACCGGGGCAGAGGGGCTGCCCACATTGCTAATTCCCAGCCCCATCCTCAGGTGGCCATCGGTTCCGGGGCAAGTGGCCGGGTGGCAGCCCCTGACAGCAATGTGGGCTCATCTTCCAAGGGCTCTGCTGGGTCCACCGTGTGTGAGATCACAGTAAGGGTTGCTGGGCTGGGTCCCTGCAGCGGGGTGCCCACCCCCAAGCCGGGGAGCTGGTGGGCACGTGACACACGGCCAGGCCCTCTGCCTGATGTTCATGACTTCGCCCCCCAAGCATCTCATGGCTGCACTGCCCAGATATCCCCAGCGCCCTCCCCCAGACGGTGCTCGAATGCTGAAGGAGAGGACACCATCCTGGCTTGCACACAGCACCAAGCTGCACAGGCAGAGGTGCAGGGAAGGAGGCAGGGCCCCAGCAGGGCCAGGGGCAGCTCAGGCAGCATCGGGAGGCCTCCTGGACCTGGTGGCCTCCCAGTGAGGCCCCGGGTGACGCAAGGCCAAGCCCTGGGAGGTCTGCAGAGCTGGGCAGCAGTGGGGAGCAGGGGCCAAGGCCCCGCGGCAACTCAGCTGGGCGGTGGAGAGCTTGGGGGTGCAGGGCCTGGCCAGGTCCCATTCCGGACTAGAGAGGGTCTGGGTGGGGACAGTAAGCCAACCAGTAGCCGCAGAAGCCCTGCCACCTCCCCTCAGCCTGCTCAGCCCCTGCACTGTGCCAGACTCAGAGTCTGAGCACCCTTGGGTGACACTGTGTGCAGAAGGTATAGGACACCTGTGGTCATTGCCACAGCCCACCACCTTCTGTCTCAGGGTCATCTGGCCATCATGTCCCCCAAGCCACAGGAACAGGGACAACAGTGGTAGAGCCCCAGGCTCCCATCCACTCCGCCCAAAGCCCTGTGAGGTGGTCTTGGGGGACACTGAGCCTTGAACAGGTGGTTGCAGGAGAGGCAGTCCTGTGGCTGAGAAGAGGGGACAGGACACGCAGGACATGGACACAGGAAGTGAGAGGAGCAAGGACCCTCCCTGCAGCCCAAGAGGATGCAGCTCTACGTGGCCAGCTGCCCGCTATGTCTTTGGATGTGATGGCCACCAGACCTTGCACAGTTCTAGAAGGTGTCCCAGGTAGGCCTCGAAGGGACAGCATGGTGTGGTCTGCGGCTTTCGGGTCTGGGGGACTGGCCTCCCTGCCCAGGACCAGGGGCAGGACTGTTCCCAGCTCCCGAGGGAGGGCACCCACTGCGGGAAGGAGACAGCCCAGCTCCGCACTGTGCCCATGGCACTGGTGATGGCCGCAGGAACCCTGGGCAGCAGGCCTGGTGGGGGCCAGTGACACAGGGACACAAGGCAGGGACAGGGATGGGACTCACTCCAACAGGCGCTGGTGGTTGAGTTCATGTGAGGGCGGCATCCGGCAGCAGCTAAAGGTGACCACGCGTCTTCCATAACGGTCTTCCCCTGTGGGAGAGACACAGTCTGAGCCTCCGCTGCCCCAGTAAGCCCTAGGCACACAGGAGGCCCGGGAGGGATGGGAGGGGCAGCAAGGCGCAGTGCCAGCCTGCCCAGAGGAGGCTGAGGCAGGAGGATCCCAAGTTTGAGCCCAGCCTGAACAACTTATGGAGACCCTGTGACAAAATAAAGCATAAAAAGAAAAGGGCTGGGGATGATTGGGTTCCATGCAAAGGCCCTGGTTCTGTTTTGTTCTGGGGGGAAAGGAAAGGAGAAAGAAAAAAGCATCCTTCAAGTTACCAGAGTTAATGGCTACAACCGGCCTGTGTGAAAGAAACAGCACCCATTTTATTTATTTATTTATTTATTTATTTATTTATTTATTTATTTAATTTTTGTGGAACTGGGGATTGAACTCAGGCCCTTGCGCTTGCCAGGCAAGTGCTTATTCTACTGAGCTATCTCCTCGGCCCCTACATTACCCATTTTACAGATGGAAAACCAAGGCCTGCTCACCACTGAAGCAAGGTCACCCGTGCCAGGCCATACTTCAGCTTAGGGGACCTGGGACTTGAATCCAGACAATCTGACCTCAGAAGCTGGTGTCCCTGCCACCTCCTGCCTGCACGGTAGAGCCCCTGAGGCTCACCCTCTTTGGGCGCTGACCTGGAGGAGCGAGGGAGCTGTGGCCTCTTGGGGGTCCGGCCTCCATTGTAGGGGTGACCCTGTGCTGACTGTCCTCAAAGTGAGCCCTCCTGGGTGACAGCCACATGGGCGAGGTCCTTCGGCCCAGGGAGAGGCTGAGTGGGCTAAAGAACAGATGCACAGGGCAGCCACTGCCAGGGCCACCTGTCGCAGCGCCCCAACCTGTGGCCCGCCAGCCCCCTCAGCGGGAAGGACTCTCCGGGGAGAGCGAGGCTCCTCTTCTCCTCCTCCCCCCGCGTCTTCTCCTCCTCTCTCCTTCCCTTCTTCCTCTTTCTCCCCACCCCTGGTCCTCGCCTTCCGTGCCAGGACTGAGCCCAGGACCTGCACGCAGAGCCACATCCTGGCCCTTGTCATTTTTCACTCTGAGAAGAGGCCGTTAAGTCACCAAGTTGTCTGCGTTGGCTGGACTGTGTGTTCCTCCTGTCCAGTCTCACAGGTGCTGGGACCCCCGGCTGTGTCACCACACCGGTCACTGCTCCTTTAGGACAGTTGAGCACACAAGGACGTGGAGAGGCACAGCCAGGATGCACGTGCCCTGGAGCACAGGACCGAGCCCAGTGCCACAGGGGCCCACAGGCAGGGGCGCTGACCCACAGGTTCCTGCAGCCTCCTGCGGCCTCCTGGGCCTGGCTGCAGGGACCTTCTGTCTTTCCTCAAGGGACAGGAAAGCTGCCCTGGCCACTCAGCCACCAGCACGCTCGCCCTCCTCCTGGACTCTACCCCTGCCACCATGCCTGGTCCACCCATAAGCAGGACTGCAGGGAGGGACAAGGGGCTGCAGTGGTTTAGTCACCCATGGGCAACAGTGAGCGGCCTACTGCACACTGAGCAGGGCAGGCTCTGTAGGGCAGCTCTGCCTGCAGTGGAGACCACATGTGGCCTTGGGGGGGAGCAACACGTGGCCAGGTGGCTCTCAGGGCAAAGGGGACAGCACTGCCCCCTCTACCTGGCACTGTGGGTGGGCAGGGTTCCTTCCTCAGGACACAACCTCAGCCGCAGCCTCAGCACGTGGCCTTATCAGAAAGCGGGTCACAGCGGGCCTGTTACCTTGGGGTGCACTCCGATCATAGAGACTAAGGCTGTGTGACAGGCAGACACAGGAGGGACAGCAACCCCGGGGGCTAAAGGGGAGGCCAAGAAGACACAGCCACCAAGGGATACCACAGCCAGGCTGTGTTCTCTGCAGAGCCTGCAGGAGGCCCCAACCCACACTTCCGGTCCAGACTTCTGGCCCAGAACCTCAAGAGTCAACATCTGCTGTTTCTGGTTTTTTAAGACAAGGTCTCACTGTGTAGTTCAGGCCGGCCTTGCCCTTGCGGTGACCCTCCTGCCTCAGCCTCTCTGGTGCTGGGATTACAGATGTGTGCCACAATACTGGCTCTGGTATCTGTTGTAAACTCTTTGGTTCATGCCACTTTGTCTGGTGACCCCAGGGGACAGGGATACTTGGGTGGGGGCCCCTTCCTGCCCACCAGCCAGGGGCCATGAAGTCGTTACCCAGGAATTCTCCCAGACCCAGAGTCCTGGGTCCCACAGCACTGCCACCATCAGTGGCAGCCTCCTCGATGTCCCTAGCTACTCACTGGGCCGTGTGCCCCACTCTCCGTCCTCATCCCTGCAGTCCACATCATTCTGCCCCAGGACCCTCCAGGCTGCTGGGTGCCACCTCCTCTCCTGTCCCCACCCGAGCCCCACTCCCTGCTCCTCCCTACGACCCATCTAGCCCAGCCCAGCGTGCATAGCGAGTCCAGCACCCCTTGATCACAGGAAGCTCGGCAGGACCCAGGGCAATCGAACTTCCCGTCCTGGAAAAGACCGGGATCTTCCCATTGTACCATTCTACAGTATTTACAGCAGAGCTCGAAATGACAGCAGAGTGGGGCTGCGGAGATAGATGGCTCAGCAGTCTAAGTACCTGCCTAGAGAAGCACAAGGACCCAGTTCGATCCCAGGTACCACATGCTGTGCCAGCCCTGGGGCACACTGGACCAGCCACCAAGACCAGGTGTGGTGGCACACACTTGTAATCCCAG